CAATGAGATATCTGTGCACTGCCCACCACGGGTATCGAAATCCGATTTCTAGCGTTCTAAGTCCGCAGACATGTCACTGTGCCACTGGGAGGAAATTTTCAAGGACCAAGCGAGTTAAAAAACTTATTAGATATGAAGGTTTGAAAACACAATAAAAATATATTATCAAAATAAGTACAGACCTCCATTTTCAAAAGATAAAGCAATAAGGAAATAGATTGGGTTAGTCTGACGAAGTGGAAGTATGTCAAGAAGAATTAAGCTTGAGTGAGGGTGGTCCTGTGGAACTAAGAGTCAGTTTGGTTCAATGGATCTTAAGAATTGAGTTTGAGCCAGCTTGGTCGTATGGATTGTAAGGATTAAGACCTCGTTTAGTTAGAACGAAAAATAACGTGTTTGAAATTAATGTGATTCCTTTTGTTTAATTTATTAATCATAAAACAAGCATAGCGGTGTTTCTGTTTAATCTTTAGTATTAACAAATGAAGTGCATATCTGGGCTCTAAAAATCGCCGAATTATAACCTATAACAACAAAACTCAAAGGCTATGGTATCGTTTTCCCGCCAAAGTTAAACTCTGAACAGCAATATTTAATATCTCTTGTCCAGCCAATCGCAATACGAATATACACTATTGTTTCCCAAAGTGGGAGCCACAGCCCCCTGGGGGCCGTACAGCTTTTTTTCTGGGGGACCGGTAAAAAATGGGCCGAAAACAAAGATGCTGAATTAATTTTAATTCTAAATATACAATAAGCTGATAAAAATTATGTTAAATTAATTAAATGAAACAATATGTCGAAAGGAGATTTTATTGTTTTTACTACGGCACTGTTTTCAATCACCATGCTAAAGTTATTGGTTGTTGGGGGCCTTAAACTTATTTATTCACATCAAGGGAGCTTCAGACTAAAAGAGTTGGGAACTACTGATATACACAACACATACCTGATCACGCACTTCTCGAGATAGCTAATCCTTGCACATTGCAACCCACCAAACCAATTAGAAAATAGATATCATTGCACATGACCATAAGTTTCACGTGTGAAATTTTAGTACAGCGACTGAGTGTTAACTAAATTGTTCGTTCTTAAAATAACAATTTAAGTAGAAAAGTAAAGTTTTACTTAGATTACCACACTGAAACCTTAGATATTTGTTCATAAAACAATCCTCTCCAAAATCAGTTAGGGAAAAGCTAAAAGTATATCATAATAAGCGGTTCCATACAAACAAGAATAATATATCTATGTGATGAGTCAAAGTAAAGTGTCAGTGAACCAAAAAATTGGATCATCAAAACATAAATACAAATATACTAGACTGTGCCGGTTGAATGACGAAAGAATTAGATGGTGAACAGAAGTAGGCTTAGGGATCTGTTTACTTTATTTATCTAAAATCCCGGAAGAAGTTTTTCAAGTCTATAGATGAAAACATTAGTAAGCAAACGAAAACACTTTGGCGGCCCTCCCTTCTCCCTCCAGTGGCTCAGCGGCAAGTCTCAAGATTTATAAAACTAAAAATTAGGTTTCGATACCCGTAGTGGACACACCACGGATAGGCCATTGTGTTGTTTTGTGCTTGACAAAAGAACAATCAAACAACATTAGTGGAGCTTATACAACATTATGTACTCGCCTGTAATTTACAACGTATCATATATAACAAGAAGTTCGTTATAACTGGGGGATGGGAAGTCAAAATATCATAAAACATAAGCTTAGGATAGCTGATATTCAAAATATCTGAGTGACTGAAGAGATATTCAAATAGTCACACATTATGTCAGGAAAAAGACAGCGTGTCATTCACACGTGGGAGTTTGATTAGTACAAGCTTCAGGAGAACTGACACAGACTGGTAACTTTGCAGGAGCGTGAGTTGGTAAAGATTAATTCCAAAATATTTACGTTTTTGATCGTTTTCAGAAATGTTTTATTGCTTTAGTAAATATGTCAATCAAAATAGAATAACTGTTGTATTCGTTCTTCACTCGAATGGCACCTTATCCACACACACATTGGGTTAAATGGCCAGGCCATGGACTTCCATAGGTTTAAATCTACCTCTTAACCGAATAAAGGGATTGACTGTCACTTTTATATCATACTCACAGCTAAACGTGTGAGCGTTTTTGCTAGTACCACGTCCCAAAAACCGGTATACCTAAGATCTTCAGTACTATACGCTAATCACCACGCCACGCTTGGACCGAACAGTTTATTTTTTGTTAAGCACAAAGGTACACAATGGGCTATCTATGGTGTATTGATACTCGGTTTTTAGCGTTATAAGCCTTCAGATGTACCACTTGGCCGCTAGGGGCCGGATCGAACAGAATAACAGTCCTCCGCGCTATTTGGAAAATAAAAGTATCTAATCTATATATCAGCCACATATTTCCGACATTTATCTGTTTGATTCTCGAGTGACATCTAAAAAATAAATAAAATAAATTAGGTACACCGTTGAGGAAGAAAACATAATTTTGCTTAATTAAAACCCGATTTTAGGTAATAAATAAAAGGAAGAAAACATGTTAAGAAAAAAATTTTAGAAGAAAATAAATAATGAAACTTAGGAATTATCATAATTCATGAGTATTTCAACAAATGAATTCTAGTGGTTCATCAGTAAGTTTATGGCTTATAAGGGTAAATTTTGGTTTCGATCCCCGCAGCGGACACGGCGCAGGTAACTCATTGATGCATTTCCTCCAAAACCAGAAATAAGTAGTTTTCACTGTTTGTTTTCTATAAAGTGTATATACATAATGATTTTGTCTTTTAACAGTTGATACCAGACTCAAAAAACCAGAATGATTTGTTCAAGCTTTCGTACCTTCTAGTTACGGAGAAACGCCACCACGAAGTAAAATTTGAACTATTTCTTCGCTTTTAGAATTTACGCGCAAAGCTACAGACAGAATTACATGCGCATAGATGTCCCTATTTTATACTGATGGACTAGAGGGAAGAAGCAAGTAAACCGAACCCACCGCCAACTCTCGGGTTACTCTTGTCTGATCAAACTCATGCTAGATTTAGAAAGCTATATGGATGCATACTTATGTGCATATAAAATATATAGACATGTGTAAAAACACAAAATTATAATAAGAACATATTGAAAGTTCAAAACTGAAAATTACTTTGTTTTAGTAAATTAAAAATAAGTTTAAAGTTTTTAGACCATAAGACAAATAACATTGTCGTGTTTAATACTAAACTTTATACCAATGTTACATGACAAATTGATGAAATTATTAACAAATATTAAATATAACATGAACAACCTAAATAGTCAAATATCAAGTTTGAAATACTTTCTTTAGAATTTTTTTTTACTGAATTAGTGACAAGTAGATAATGTCTAGAGACCTGAAATGCAAAGAAACATCGTTTCTCTCATACATAACTTGCAGTACAAACTTGGAGTGTCGTCACTAACGACAGCTGAAACTTTGTAAAGTGATCATTAAAACACGCCCTGTGAAATTCAGCTACTGCTACTCTATACAATAATAATAAATTTGTCATCCGAGAATGCCCCTCTGGTGTTAACTTTCTTTGAGAAAGATAAAAGGCCCGAAGACATATTAGGTTTATTAATAAACACCGATATTAAAACGTAGTTAGTTGGTAACATCCATCAGAAAGAGCCCCTTGTAGTCCAATATCACAAACGTGTTACGTAAAAATTGGGTATGTTAAGTGATAACATATGGCGTGCTTTCTCAGTAATGATTATGTATATTACTCCTCCAGCGCAACAAAAAAAAAAAAACAACAACTCAGAATTGAATAAATATACAACGGGATAACAAACCTCACGATTGTATTGACCAGTTTATCATGTAGACTTTTTAGTTCTCTAACCGCGTTTTGAGTCTCGAAGAGTATGAACTCAAAACTTATCTAAAACATCTTCGGGATTTTGCTATAAACTAAACGTATAATCTTACTATGAAACTACTTATTTAATTTTAAACGAGTAACGGGAACGTTTTCGATATGTATTTCAAACAGTTGTGAAAGAGCCGGATTGAGAATCTGAGGTTTAGTGGTTCGCGTCCCGTTATCGCCCCTCCCCAAAAAAATCACCCTCTGCACTCTCGAGACGTGGGTGTATTGTAAGAGTGACGGTTAAATGCCACTAGTTGGCTGACAAGAATAACTCAAGAGTTGGCTGTGGGTGGTGTTGATTTTAGTCTAACACTTCAAAATTAGAGACGGATAGCGTATTAATCCCTAGTGTAGCTTTACGAGAAATTCAACACACATTGTGATTTTTGTTATTATTTACACATTATTTGAATGTTTTACATTTTTGGTTTCTCTTCCATATATGTTTTTGTATTTTAGAATAATTTTACAAAACTTATGAATAAAATTATTCACAACTTGGGAAAAATTGACTTGCTAATTTAGAATATACATTTTTCGGTGGTCATATTTAAATTTAAGGATGCATAGTATAGGCACAGCTTCGTATGCAGTTGCGCAGATCAGAACTGATGATCGTATAAATACCCCCCAGCGGTATGTCTGCGGACTTATACTGCAGGAAACCGGGTTTCGATACCCGTGGTGGGCAGAGTACAGATAGCCCTTTGTGTAGCTTTGTGCTTAACACCAACATCATATAAATGTAATTCTAGTTCTGATTTAAAAGAATAACACTGTATCACATTATAATTGTGATAGTTTGTTTTTGTATTCACTATAAAAACTCATTTTAATTTAATTGTTATTCATATATAATGGTGTCAAGATTAATCAAAATAATAATTTTACGACTAAATTTATTTATCAATATGTTAAATAGATGTTTCTCAACATAAGTTTTACACATTAGGATACAACTGAATGAGTAATTACATTTTCAGGTTATGTTTTACTGTCATACATAAGTTTTGTCGGTTGTTTTTATCCAGATATTTCTATAAGATCATTTAATTTGTTGTTTTAAAAGCTTTGTTCTGAAAACTTACGGTTTTTGTCTGCGTCAACGAAAGGTCTGACTGCCTCTCTCCCCGACGTTTCAGACACTTGTACTAATTCATCAAGCTCAATATAACCATTCCCATCTTTATCGTAGCTTTCAAAATCGGTGGGTAGAGCAACTGGTTGGAAATCGGAGACATCAGAGGCATGGGACTTCTCTTCCACCAGTGGGGTTCCTTTAACATTCAGTAAGTTTTCTCCTATTTCTGAAGAAGCCATTTCAACACTCACAGGGACAGTGGACACATCTTGGGGTACGTCATCGACTGTAGGAAATGTGTTTACATCGGGAAGACTCTGAATGGCATTTGATATTTTTTCTACCGGGATCGTGAGCGTTCTCACCAACGGCAGAAGCGTAATGAAATAAAGAATCATCGTGTTACGTTGTTGTTGCTACAGTTAACTCTGTTACCCTGTCGTAGGAAACATGGTTATTTGTAGGGTTTGTGGGCGGAGCCTGTTACTGTCGGAACTTGATGAAACCTACACACGCACACACACATTGCCATCTACTGGAAGTTCCAGAAAAATTAAACGGGCTTACTGCCCTTTGTATTGTGTGCGTCAAGATATAAATATAGTACGTTTTTAGCGCAATTATATAAATAAAAATGATACTGTAAATCACATAATGAAAAAAACGACAATGTTGACTGATAGTGCTAAGCTATTATAATGAATACATTAAGTTCCTAATGAGGTTATATTAACTAACATGATAAGTTCCTACAGCCAGACTAGGATTTCCAGACTAAAACGATATGTTCCGAGTGAATTATTCTGCTTTTCATGTTACTTACTTGAAATACAAGTTTAAAGAACTTATGGTAATAATGCAGACATGGACAAAACAATACAATGACAATGACAACAATAACGCAAAGTGGGAATTAAAAAACTATTAGGCCAAATTCAATATTATAAACACACAATTTTTCTGTCAAGAGAAAATGACAGAATTACGACTGTGGAGTAAAGCACGCTGATCGTTCAGTGGTATTCTGAATTCAAGTCTGTTAGTCTCGTGGCGGCCCGGCATGGCCAGGTGGTTAGGGCTCTCGATTCGCAATCTAAGGGTCGCAGGTTCGAATCCCAGTCCCACCAAAC